GTATATACGTTCACCCATAGAGCGATCACTCTTCATGGACACACAGCTGGGTTCAGGTTCAGGACAGTCTGGTCTCTGATGGATCCTGATAGAAAGAAATTCATTAAAGCTCACATATTCAGAAACATTCTCACTGAATCAAAGACTTTGTGAAATGATGTATAATTTGAAATGTTTGAATACAGGGCTGGACAATAAGAACAATGTCTTCAATTACTGACATTATGGACGTTTTACTGATGTCGCACACTTCAACACACTGTCTGAATTCCATATAATTAAAGGGTCTGTGTATCTTTTGGTCATTCGATTTTCCTTTCAGAAACGGGTATTAAAAAACTAAACGAGTGGTTATTTGAATTTTGTTTTAAAATACTAAAATTGAAATACAAGGCGTTTTTCTTTTTCATGGTCAAAAGGGGATGAGCGAAATAAAAAAATTATTCGATTTTCATTTTCTATTTCATATAACAAAAAATAAAATCACTAGAAACAGTAGGCTAGTAGACTGCGGTCAATCCAGCCGTGAGTCCGATCTCTGTGGTCAAATCAGCCGCACTTAAATTTAGAGTGTACAAGTATTCTCAGCATTATGGTAAATGCGGAGAAACAGCGTATTTACTTCCGGTTTTCAAAATAAAGGTATTTAGAACAATAAGCTATAAATAAAATATGTTACATTAAAGTGTTTCATGCGCCCCTGATGAATAAAAAAGCACTTTATATCAAGTATACTGCACCAGTGTGGAGAAATGCCAAGATAAAAGCCTCATATTTATGCCTCCAGAGATTGCATATTTGACCGTATTTGAGGTACTGTAAAAACATATTGCTCAATAATTCCTGGCTATGGATGGTGTATTTGAGTTCTACACATCTAAGACTACAAGTATACTTAATATCAAGCATTTTTACTGTACCAATCTGGAGAAATTGAAGAATAAAAGTCCCATATTTATACTTCCAGATTCCATATTTTCTTATATTTGAGCTACTGTAAAAATGTAAACTGTATGTGGAACCACCTGCAACAGCTATCACACTGAATAATATAAAAAATAATGTGTGAGGAAGAGACAGTAGGTACAATGGTGTTTTGAAGTTAAAACTAATTATTTTTCCCTTTTACCTATGGACACAGCAGAGCAGCAAAATAAGAAGAATGTGGACTGGCATTGCATTTGTGTGAAAAGTAAACAAATTAGAATTGTGTAGGATTTTATGTTTAGTGTTTATATTATCAAGATGTTATTAAACATTTGTGTGAAATTTTGTCATGATTACTGCAGCATTATTGAAGTATAATGAAAATGCTTTACCCATAGCCAGGAAATATTGAGCAATATGTTTTTACAGTAGCTCAAAAATATAAGAAAATATGGAATCTGGAAGTATAAATATGGGACTTTTATTCTTCAATTTCTCCAAATTGGTACTGTAAAAATGCTTGATATTAAGTATACTTGTAGTCTTAGATGTGTAGAAGTCAAATATACCATCCATAGCCGGGAAACACTGAGCAATATGTTTTTACAGTACCTCAAATATGCTCAAATATGCAATCTCTGAGGCATAAATATGAGGCTTTTATTTTGGCATTTCTCCACACTACTGCAGTAAAGATACTTGATATGAAGTGTTTTTTATTCATCAGGGGCGCATGAAACACTTTAATGTAACATATTTTAATTATAGCTTACTGTTCTAAATACCTTTATTTTGAAAACTGGAAGTAAATACGCTGTTTCTCTGCATTTACCATAATGCTGAGAATAATTGTACACTCTAAATTTAAGTGCGGCTGATTTGACCACAGAGATCGGACTCACGGCTGGATTGACCGCAGTCTACTAGCCTACTGTTTCTTCTACACAGCACCGTCCTGTTAATGACAACATCCGGTCTCAGAATATGAAACAACAGGCCTTTTTTCCGTTTCTGTTTTCTAGTGATTTTATTTTTTGTTATATGAAATAGAAAATGAAAATCGAATCATTTTTTAAATTTCGCTCATCCCTTTCTGACCATGAAAAAGAAAAACGCCTTGTATTTCAATTTTAATTTTTGTATTTTAAAATGAAAATCAAATAACCACTCGTTTTCTGTTTTTTAATACCCGTTTCTGAAAGGAAAATCCAATGACCAAAACATACACGGACCATACACGGACCCATTTCTCATTATGAAGCTGAATGTTTCTCCTGATAGTGATTTTAGATCAGATTGTCCAGCCCTGTTTGAATACTGACAGCTATGTACTTTAGTTCAGATAAATGTTTTTGTTTCAAATGGAGAATCAAAGCCTTTGTGACATGGAGAGAGTCATGGACAGTTAGAGATCCTCATCTCACCTCTGAGCTTTGGTCCTTGTGTCATGTTCCCCACACAGAGTGCTTTTAGAGGGAGGGACTCCCTCCTCTCTGTCCTCACACTGATCCATAGCAGAGCCCACACCTTCACACAGACACAGCAACATGTTCATTCATTACAGCAAGCTTTACATCACAGAGACACATTAGTTCTCATTGCTCTCAGTAACATGACACAAATATTCAGAGCTGACAGAAATCTTGTTGGAGCTCTGATAACCCCAAAACCTCTTACACAGCCCCCAGATTCACACATAAAGTATGTTGACCACAAAATATACTTTATACATTTATGGGTCACAAGAGAAAATCAAGGTCTGTGTCTTTCAGTGGCGGTGCCAGGGAGGAGCTAGGTGGTGCTGTAGCTCCCCCTATAATAGCCATAGCACCCGCCCAGTACCCCCAAGAAATGTCTCTGATTTTTTATACTTATAACTTAATGTCATGTTTGAATAGTCTTTTTCGTGTTTTTTAAAAATGTGAATTAAAATAATAATTAAAAAATATATATTTTAGTCTTAAAAAACCACAAGGTGTAAACATGTGATCTTAATTGGCCAATGGGCGCAGCGCCTGGTGAACCTTTGACCTTAACGTATGGCAGCTTGGGACAGTTGAGACCTGGACTGTGCTAAAGGGTCTTCAGTGAAACCAGCTCAGTGTCAGTTTGGAAGGTTTCTGTATGTGAGCCCTCAACTCTTCATCCATGCTCTTCCCTTCAGAGTATTAACAGTTAAAAATCAACCTCAGCCAAGGTGCTTCGAGCTGTCAGACCAGTTCAGACACATTGTTCACTGATGATGTGAGCTCAGGTTATAATCAAACTGCATCTGATTCTACTTCACACACACACTAACAACAGTACATGTAAATCTTTCTAAAAGCATCGTCCTTTAACTCAGAGAGAAATTCAAGTACAGAAAGCAAGTTTCAAAGATATATTCTGAAACAGCTCATCAGCATATGGAAACATTTCTACTGTCCAGATAAACAGAGATACAGCACAATGTGATCAAAGTCATCCTGATGATCAAACATTTACACATTTCTCTGGTAGGATTCTCACCTGCTGAACTCACTTCAGGTTGACTTACAGACACTTTCTACCTTCATGTGTGGAGGAAACACTGGAAGAGAAGACGCTGCTCCTTTCTTCCTCGTCAGTCCTGGTGTCTGTGTGCATTTGATCCGAGGACGCCATCACATCCTCAAAACTTCACGGTCCAAGTCTAACAAACACCAGAGTGACGTCAGAACCAGTTAAACAAGAATCAGACTGCACCCAATCAAAAGCATTTTTATTTCCTCCCCCTGAGCTGTCTGAGTGTTGGGGATGTGTTTGTCTTGTTTCAGATCCATTTGTCATTATAGTTGATGAAGGCTGCAAGAACAAAAGTGCTTTAAACCTCTGAATACGCTGTTGGCATTGAAATAGAGTCGCACCTTTCCTCTATCTACAGTCAGTGTCAGAGAAATCACTGATCAGATATGTAGTTCCATTATCTGTCCATTAGATGGTGCTAATTAATCATACAGTGAGCTAAAGATCAGCTCAGTGCAGAACTATGTGATGCGGAGCATACATTTGTATCACATGTTTTACATTATTACGTATTTATGAAAGGTTCAGTGTGTAGAATTTAGTGGCATCTAACAGTGTTGTTGCAGATTGCACCTCACTAGCTTCCCTCTCTAATTCCAAACACGAGGGAGAAAGAACGGTGGCTGCAAAATGCCAATGCCCACCATTGGAATCAAGATTTGTCCTTTCTGGGCTACCGTAGAAACATGGAAGGAGTCCCCTTCCCTCTTAAGATAAGAACTGCTAATTCTAAGGAACCAAAAACACAATGTTCAGGTATTTATACACTAATAAAAACATACCTATGAATACTATATTCCATTTCTGACAATAAATCATTTGCAGTGTTACACAGTGGATCTTCACAAATGACAAAATATTCTTATTTATGAATATTATTCTACAGTGACTTCAAGTCTCAATGTCCATCCATGTGACGTCAGAACCAGTTTAACCTGTGGCAGAAACCCAGTCAGTGTCAGAGAAATCACACATCAAATGATGTAGTTCTACTATCTGTCCACTAGATGGTGCTAACTGACCATCTCATTAAATAAAGATCAGCAGAGCATCATCTGCTGCTGGCAGTTATTTCTGACTATCAACAGGACTCTACAGGTCAGAGTGAACCAGACATTAGGCTCATTCGAGATGAACTGCAGCTGTAAAGAGGACAAGATGAGGCAACAGCAGCAGGAGGTGGTGACAAAAAGCTGCAGTCGAGTCGGGCAGTTTTCAGCATCCTTCAAATAACATAGATAAAGTCAAAATACAGTTTACATCGTGTTAATTCCACCTGTAGTTTTTAGACATTTGCTACGCCATTGTTTCATATTCTCAGTGGCTCTAAAAACTACAGCCACCTCAAACATGATGTCGGAGTAGTTTAGCATCATTAATGGTAAGGTATATATAATATATATTGTATGTACTGAATAAAGTCTGTTTTTGTTCCACTGTGAACGGTTACAATCCAGATATATGTTAAATATGTATTGGATGAATTCATTTCAATTTCTGTTTATCAGTATGATGTTACATTAATGATTGAAGGGGTTTAATTTAATAACATATTTTAAGGGATATTGAAATGCCAAACCATACTCACCACATATTGTTGGACACACTGACTAAATGCACAACTAAATGCAATCATGACAGCAATAAAGTGATTTATTGTTTCTTCTCTGGACTGGTTGCAGTAATGGTAAATGGACCTGTACTTGTATAGCGCCTTTCTAGTCTTCTGACCACTCAAAGCACTTTTACACTACGTGCCACATTCACCCTTTCACACACATTCACTCAGTGATGGCAAAACCCATCGAACAGAAACTAACGCAGCCAACAACCTTCCGATTAGGGGACGACCCACTCTGCCTCGGCGCCACCAACTGGACTTGAGAGTAATTGAACATTACTTTTTATTGCATTGTTATATCCTGTCTGGGTCTGGTGTCCTTCTGATTGTGTAATGTATTGTGCTGTGTGTGTTCTCTCTTCTATTTGTATTTAATCTATTTATTTGCTCTCTTCTATTTGTTTTTTTATCTATTTATTTATTAGGGACTACGGATGCAAATTAGCAGCTTTGCTATAATCCGGCATGTTTACAGAGATGTTTAAATATCGATGTCAATTAATGTGCACTGTCCCTATCCAAAAATAAAGCATTTATTATTATTATTATTATTGTTATTTGTCCCTCAGCACTTTGTTATTCCTTTAATTCAGCTTATATGAAATAAGGGAATTAGAAATAAGACTTAATCTAGTACATGATCTGATTCTTAGTGGTTTAAAAACATGCTGTGGTACAACACAACCCAGCAGACCAGAACAGAGCTACATTAAGGTGTTTTAGACCAGTTTAGAATTTATTTTGACCTTTTTGGAGTTGTACAAGCATAAAGAGACAGAACTTAAATGATAACAGATTCTTTTGTTTCTTCTTACTTCCTGTCTCCTCACAGTGGCCCTCACAGAGCAGCTGCTGTCTTTAACATGTATCCTACAAGCCCAAAGCCAGGTCCATGGTCAGGAGGAGGAAGAGGAGGACAAAAGTGTGCCAAATGTGTAGCACATGCATATAAAATGCACCTCACAGTGATCAGTGGTTTATGCCTTGAATTGTGAACACACACACATGACAGTACACATGACATCTTATGACAAAAAGGGCATTAAAAAAATTATAAAATCTGTGGCAAGAAAAAGTATGTGAACCTTTTGGAATTTCATTGTTTTCTGAATAAATTTGTCATAAAATGTGATCTGATCTATATCTAAGTCAAAGGTATTGACAAACATAATGTGTAATAATAACTGTTAATTGTTATTATTATTAATAATATTATTATTACTACAGATACTATTATTACTATTATCATTGCTCATTGTCCCCCATCGTTGTTGCTGTGCACTTTTGTCTCTGTCTTTCTGTTGTTACCTCTGTTTCTGCCTCTTAAAAGGAAGTTTTTCCTTGCCGCTGTCTCCAAGGTCTTGCTCATGGTGGGAACTGTTGGGTCTCTGTAAATAATGTTATAAGGAGTTCGGTCTAGACCTGCTCTATTTGAAAAGTGTCCTGAGATAACTTCTGTTATGAATTGGTGACATACAAATAAAATTGAATTGAACTGAACTGATTGAATTGAATAGAGCTGTGACTCTCTGTCAGCCTGGCTACAGTGCTGAAGAGGAACCTAGGGTTGTTCTTATTTTCTTCTATTAGTGCTGAATAATAGGCTCCTCTGGCATTACGGAGGGCCTTTCTATAGGTTTTAAGATTATTTCGCCAAATTGAGCGATATTCTAATTTAAATTTAAATCAAAATTTTCCATTTCCTTTCTGATTGCTGATCTGCTGTTTTATCATTCAGATTAAAGTTATTTTGATACATGAAAAGATAGAAACAATCATGAAACAAACAACAGTCAGGAAACAGTTTGTCTATGAGAGGCCAACACATTAAACAGTGTGCCTTTTACAGTTCATCAGATGAGGCTCTGTGTAGCCTAAGCACATCTCCCAGATAATATTTCGTAGGAACATATGTCACATCCTTGTGAGTATAACTGTAATATGGAGTGAAATCTACCAGACTATCAGCCGTTATTATTTCATTTGCTTGTGCCGTTTGGAATCTCTATTGTATATGCCATGTAATTTCTATCATAACAAACAGTATTATGCTGCTGGAACTCAAAACAATATAATGATGAGTTAATTACATAGATATTGCTCACAAGTCCAAATTCAGGTAAATCACTGGCATTAACAGCAGTCACAAATGTCTTCTCCCGTACATATTTATTACCTTTTAGATGAATCCATTTAACAGACACTGCATTGTTTATGTCATCATTTCCAAAGAAAGCCCTCATTTTTTTCTTTTAAATATGACATGCTGCATATTTCTGATGTTGGTCCCAATGCACACTCATTTAAAAAAGAATGACTTACATTTTGACAACATTCATACATTTGATTATGCCTTATTAAAGACTTGCAAACATTTCTAAGATTTCATTTTGAGGCCCACTGTTTGAAAAAACAATGTTTTGATTCGACCTGTTTTTAGCCTACATTAGCTCGCTGCCGTGTACCGCTATTGCCTCTTTTGCCTTGAACCCAAGATGACCAGGTGATACATCATGTGATACCAAGGGTACGTAGCATAAATCCGTGCCTTATAAGGACAGAAACGACCTTCTATTTATTAATGATCACGTAGATGTAACTTGATTTTAATAGTTATAAGTTAATATGAACTTATTTAGATAAATATACTTTGTATAAATGCAAAATAAACTTATTCAGGCTGAGGGCCCACCCCCGCTCCCTCTGTGCAGATGGTACAATCCACCGTTTTGCGCTCTTTTTTTCCCTCCTGAAGTCCGTTGCATTTTGAAAATAACCGCGCGTGCGTGTTCCGCTGCTGTGAATTCCTCATTTGAAAGTGTCGTATGTGGATATCAGTGGAGCCGAATTATGGATAAACTGGACGATGTTTCAATTGCCACACTCAAAGCTATGCTACCAGGGTTTCTTTATGTCGTACTGATGTTATATTAGCTAACGTAGCTAACCTAGATTAACGTGTTGTAATGGGCTGTGACATAAAAACGAGCTAGTACTTGGTAGGGCCCCCTCTAAAAATATGTGAAGTCTAATTGGGCTTTGGGACTTTTGTTTTATTTTCTTATTATTAAGGGCTGTAAATGCTGAAAATACAGTAACACCTGGTGGTTTGTAAAACATCAGCTGTAAAGCACATCACTCTGATTTTGATTGTGTTTGTCTCATATGTACATCAGTCCAAAGCGCCTGAGTGCTATTTATTAAATCTGTAACATGTTTGTTTAAAAGTGCTATAGCAAATACTTGTATGTATAATGTATTTAAGTAAAATTCAAAAACAATAGTCATTCTCTATCAAGCATTAATGTGAAATGTGAATGCATTTTATCTAGCAAGGCTCTATACTCACGCTTACTGTAGTTTGCATGGCTTGAATATAGATATATCTAATTTATAAATGCTGTCAAATTCACTCACTGCTCTTGAAGTAAAATGGTAGTGTGTAGCAAGACTGAGCAAACTGTCCAAACAATGCTAACTGTACAAGAGGTGTCAGGGTGTTGAGTTGGCAAAATATCTGCGATGTTTAAATCTGTAGGAATTCAATGATAACATCAGTTTCTTGGTAATGACTGCAACTTGTCTATATTGCAGCTGCTAATATTGCAGAAGACTTACTACCTTCACTTTCCCGTGATGACATCAAAGATCTGTTTCCTGGTCCTGAAAATTTGGTGAGGCGCCGGGCTATATGGCTTGTTGTGAATAAAGATGAAAAGGTAAGGTCTTTCACAGTATGACAGAACTGTTTAACAGTACAACAGATTTTCCAATATCACAGAAATGTTAAGTAACTTCAATTCCGGTCCATATACATAATATTTCATTATTTTAGACGTTTCTGCTTTGAGTCCCTTTCAACAGTCCAACTTGCTTTTTTCAAGTTTTTTTTTAATCCACTAAAAGATAATGTTTTTCAAAAAAATGTTTGTGTAAATGTATTATAGGTGGATGCTACTCCTGTTCCGAGCCCTGCCACTGCTCTTCCCGTCCAGCACCATGCCACCTAAGAAGCTGGGCTTAAGCAGCGAGGCTCTTTTCCATGTCCTTACGGTGAGATTTACAGACTTACTGCAATATTTCATACTATATGTTTCCGTTATTCACGCATACATTTTATGTCAGGTTTAGTTACTTTGAGATAAACTTTTTATTATTTCAAAAGGTCCAAAGGGTAAGTGTTCTCCATAGTGTAGTTGTAATACTAACTTCATTTGAACTACAGTAGCTGTGGTGCATTCAGTATTTGCAGCACTCAACAATGACAGTACAACATCTTCTCCCTCTCAGGGATTATTGTGACTATATGTTTACGTATATATAAGTACAATTATGATTTCACCAATGTCCTAGTCCAGGTCAAAGTGTGTGTTACTTGTGATGTTTTTCTAATCCTCTACATTGATTTGTGTCATCTAGACTTCAGAGGATCCTGATGGTTTCCTGCGCCAGCGACCACTGTCTTGCCCAGTCGTGCTTGTTTCTGAGGACAACTGCATGATCGCCATTGGAAACATGCCAGTGACCACCTTCAACATTGAGAGGTTTGATGAGGGACTGCTCTACCTCATGGCATATTACTATGCCCTGCACCTCACTTACCCAAAGTGTATTTCCACACTTCTGTCAGTACTGCAAACACAAATTCTCCAAGATTCCATTCATGAGCAAGATTTGACCCCTTCCTACAAAAAAGCCATCGGCGAGTGGAAGTCCTTCATTGAGTGAGTGAGTGAGTCTCTTTGTTTCTTTTGTGGTTGTTTCTTGACACCGCCTCACTCTCTATCTCATGTAAGACTTTCCAAGAAAGTCAAAGTTCTGTTTAATGTAAGGTTTATCACTGTTAGCCACATTTGTTGGTGAAACTGAAAACTTTTCCTGTGGGATAATGTGCAATAACAGCAGCTGCAAAGTTGTAATAATTGTTATAGTATGCTGCAATAATAGCAGATATAACATTCTGTTTTTTGATGGACGTTTAATTAAGCAATTGTATTGCAAAGTGAATAAAAAATATTAAAAATGAGAATGTTTTGGTGTCTTGATTTAAGACAAAGTCACTTATTTTTTAATGCTATTTGAAGAAATTGTGTCTTATTTTAACTACTTTTATACTTGTTATTAATCCCAGATTAAGCTGTCATTTCTTAAAATTAACTCAGTCAAGAGACCAAAATTCTAATTTTAAGTAACTTAATCTGGGTTTTCTGGTTTTTCATTGCTTTTTATAGAAAAATTTACTTAAATTTAAGATTTTCTGTCTAGTTTTAAGGCCCATTTTAGTCTGTCAGAGGAAGAACTTTGTGCTTATTTTAAGAATTCTTGTCAAGTAAAAAAAGCTTACCCCATTGACAGATGTTTTTGCTAGATATAAGATAATTTGGTAACACTTTATAACGAGTACACACTATTAAGCATTAGTTAAGCATGAATAAATACTGAAATCATCATTTATAACGCATGAATACACATTAGTATGTAGTTTATAAACACAGTTATACATGTTTTATTCATCATTGATAAGCACATTAGTTATGGATTAGTAAATACTGAATCCATCATTTATAAAGCATGATTCTGCTGTAAATAGTCATTACTATGTGGTTTATAATCACAGTTATAAATGTTTTACCCTTCATTGTACTGTACATTTCTGCATGCACTTGCACATCCACTATTCAGACATGTATTAATGATTAGTGACTGTGTTAGCAGATGTTCTATAAAACTCACAACAAATTCATTTTCTAATGATGGCCTATAAACAGTGATTAATGCAGGAATTCACAGTTACAAAGCACTTACTACTCCTTCATTAAGTATTTTGCACAAGCTGATCTAAAGTGAGCACTATCTATGGCTTATAAAGCATTTACAAATGAGATATAAAGGCTGACAATGCCTCGAGACTCACAACATGTTCAGTTATCTTAACAGACGAAGGAGAGACACAACACAAAGGGATATAGAACATATTGTATTGATATTTACTGCAACTTCCCAACATATTGTATGAAGACGAACAAGGCTGGTTTATGAAGACATGCTATTGTTGTGATCTTCTCTGTTTGGGACGTTGAGCTAGCAGTCAGCGGCTCTAGTGGAGAGTATGTGTCTTTGTTTGGTAGCGGCGGGTCGGTAACGGTAGTAACGTTAGTCGGGGAGCGAGGGCAAACACCTGCAGCTGCTGACAAGCTAACGTTAGCATTTTTTCTTCACAGAAACAAAAGTTTTAAGGCAACAAAGTTCAGTTTTAGACTCAAAGTTGAATATTTGTTCACACTTTAATATTTGAGTCATAAAAACACTTTCCCTCTAACTGTGCTTTCAAAAAGAAGAAGATTTGAAAAACAAGCAGCCACATTTGATCCTAAAAATGTTCATTTTTCTCAGAGTTATAGAAGAAGATCAATTCTTTCTATCATTTCTTTCATCTCTACGTCTGCAGGCTGCACATTACCCTCACACATGATCCCTTCATCCCAGCATCCTTTGCTCTTCTCTTCCTTCAGCCTCCTCTTCCTCCTCTATTACAGTAAACACATCAGGTTGGTACTAACTAACATCAGCTGTGTGTGATCCTGTACAGACTGAACTATCTGGTCAGCAGTGAGAAAGTTTCTCTCTCCCTCCTACAGAGGACACAGAGACACTGAGGAACCAGACCAGAACCAGAACCAGAACCCAGGATAAAGAGGTTCAGTGAATGTGGTGTTGAAGGTGTGGAGGTGGATCAGTGTGTCAGAGGAGACTGTGTAGAAGGACAGAGTGCCAGCAGGACAGTCCACATACACTGCTACTCTACCAGAGGAGGAGGAGGAGGAGGAGGAGGAGGAGGAGGAGATGGGTGTTCTTCTGTTATTGTGCCAGACAGAGTAACGACCATCAGAGCACTTCAGACTCCAGGACTGATCATTCCATCCAAACACACAGTCTGTACTGTCTCCTCTCCTGCTGATTCCTCTGTAACTCACTGATATATAAACTCTTCCTCTCCACTCGACCTCCCAGTAACAGCGACCAGTCAGACCATTTCTACACAGCAGCTGATCCCAGTAGTCAAATCTGTCTGGATGATCAGGATATGACTGATCCTCCTTCACATAAATCATCTTCCTGTTGTTGTCAGACAGTTTGATGTTTCTGTTCACTGTGTTTGTGTCGACTGTGAGTTCACAGGAATCTGATGGAGAGAACAAGACACAATACAGCTGCAGTTATTGATCTATCATCTGATCATTGATTGACACTTTGATGATGACATCAGAGCTGTGAATGAGTGATGTCACAGTGTGAAGATGGTTGAATGTGTGCTGCTTTGTTTTCACACTTACACTTCCTCAGACCTGGTCTCAACCATCGGACTCCAGCAGGCTCCACCCTGAAAGGAGGAGGGGGGTCAGAGCAGCATGGAAACATGGACATTACATCGCTCTCATACACAGAGCTTATTCTCTACAAATGGACTTACATCTTCACATGGAGCACTTATTATTAATCAGCTGATAGTCTTTCAGTTCAGTGGAGCTTCTTCTGATTGGCCGATGGCTACAGCTCATTATTTTCACTTATTGATGATCTATTATTATTATCAGTATTATATTTGTAACAGAATGTTTACATTGATTACCTTTAAACAGTTTAACATGGGAGGTGAATTGGTAAGAGCCGACTAAATATAATATTTCTCTGCATTTACTTCCACTAAAAGCTAATGCTAGATAGCATACATTATGAAAGTCCAACTATTATTTGTAGTTAATAAGTTTGATTTTAATATCTGAATTTATGAGGGAAACTGTTTCAAGATGACTGTAGTTGCCTAAAATAGCCGCTAGAGGGCGCACTATGGATGTGATATGTAGTAAATCCAGTAGACGTGAGCGTTGCATGCTGGGATCAAAAACACCTCAGCTAAGCCCGATGCTAACAACTCACGAGTGAAGTTAGTTAATTCCATTTTATGGAAGAAATATTGTTGTTCTCATGTTTATGAGTCTGTACTGGAGCGAAGTTGTTGCCAGACCGCTGCGACCGGAGGATTTGCTTTCTTTTGTTTATATGATTGAGGACTCTGGAGAGTGTACTAGTTAGCATGCTACGTTGCTAGCAGACATGTAATTTTTCTGTGTGGTTATGATTAAGCAATTTTCTTATCAACAAAAACCAATTGGACTGTAAATGTTATGGAGACACTGAAATGAGTTAATATGCTGAGTTGTGTTTTAGAAATGCATTTATTTTTAGTGTAATGCTAATGTTTACATTTCTGGGCGCCATGTTCAGTGTTAAAGTCAGAGTTAAAATATGCTATATGTGGGCTAATGCTCATGATTTGTATACATATGGGTTTTTCCTGATATAAATAATGTGTTTCAGTTCATGTTGAGATGATTAAAAATACATAAGGGTGAATATGAATGAGAGACATGATTGATTAGAGATAAGAGATAAGTTGTGTAACATGATTTATTAATACGGGTAAAAAGGAAACAAAACACAATGATGTCTAAGCTTTTAAGGTCTCAGGATATAGTTCATCATTGCTTTTGTTATAAGTTACACTTGAGTTAAAGAGAGATATGATACTGTACAGTAATTGATGAGAGATAATTGGTTTTTTGAGTTGCTGGATCTACATTCTGGGTTTCCTGTGGGATGCGAGGCAGGGTTAGAGAGTATCTGGAATTCTCCATCTTCATCATCTTCCTGAAGATAAGATCTGAGCAAGCGTACAAACAAACACACACATTCTACCCGGGTAGCACATACACATTGAATACACTTGGACGGACATGGATACACACTAAGCTTTTGGACTGGACTTTGACCAACATTGATATCAGACAGCAATAAGCTGTAAAGAAACACTTTCACTTTCAGTTCTTTTATTTCTTTTATATATTGGAATGAATCTGAACTGTGATTCTACTTTTTGTTGATTGTGAAATTGTGTTTACCTTTTGACATTGTTATTATTTACATTTACTCACTCCTTGAGTTGAACCTGAGTGCAGTAGTTACTTCTGTTATGAATTGGTGACATTGAACTGAATTGTTGTTTAGGTGACGCCTTTAGTTTTTCTGTTCTGTTGCCTGGATTGCTGTGTTTTTATGTAACCACAAGATGGCGCCTCAATTAGTAAAGCAAACACAGGTAACAATACAGGTGACACAGATGATGAGCTGATGACTGATAAATGTTATTCTATAGGATGAGTTAAGAGCAGTTGAATTTTGCTACTCTAATCTAACTCTAATTTGTACCCCAGGGCCGCTGGAAGTCATTTTGAACAGGGGGTGCTGTGAAAAAATTGTTTGGTATTTTTGGACAAAAAGCCTATGAGCCTATAGGCCTATTTAAAATACATTTTAAAAATAAATAAATAGATTGAGATTCACTACTTTATTGTCATATACACTTCAGTGCACACAGCCAGGGTCTGTAACACACAGACATCATCAGTTCTCAGATGAATATATGCGCTATTAATTAAACTTCACAAAAACGCTATAACAAAGCAATAGATTTGTTCAGCTGGCATGAACCTGAGTCACTGCACCATCTACGTTTATGTCACACGCGACTCTATTAGCTCCAAAATCCTTTTACGCAAACCACAAGGAAATAATCTCTGACTATTTAAACGTTATTGAACAGTTCTCCACATCCATTACGCAAAGAACACACGATCAAAATAACTCTCTCCATCTCCATCCTTTTTGATTACACGCACACTGGATAGCAACGTTGTTTGTTTAGTTCACAACCTCTGTCCAGTGGCAGATGATCAAAGTTGTGAAACTAACGTTAGTCCCTGTCAGAGCATATGAGCGGAGCGGGGAGCAAAAGGATTTTGTGTTGAGCGGCAATTTTTTTAAAGATCGCTCCAGTCTTTGCACCTGCACGCGCACACCCACACTATTTTCTTTCAAAACTATGGAGTTTAATGTGTACTTCAGAAAAGAAACTGAGAAGTCGTACAAGTGTGCTATTCCTGTAAAAGTAACAGATGGGGATAATGTGGAACAAGAAAAAGGCGACATTGTTGAAGTCGTTTTGTTTTTTTGAGCGGAGTGGTGAGTGGAGCGGGATAAAATGTATGATGGAGCAGAACCAGGCGTAGCGGATCAGCGTCTCTCTATCTCTCTTTTACGTCTCCGTTTCTCTTTTTAATCCTCTCAGAATCCGGTAGGTTTCCTCATACTCATCTCTAATAGACCCTGATTGGACAATGACAGGTTGACACCTGAATACTCTAATAAACAACAAAACATACGGCAGGAGGTGTTCAAGGACTGCTCAGAACACAGGAAAATTCAATATCTTCTAAAAAACATAGCAAATATACATTTCCCTGCATTAAACACAACTGATCTCACATCAGTAGTAATTTAGAATAGAATTTAAAATCCTCCTCCTCACCTACAAAGCTCTTCATGGTCAGGCCCCTTCATATCTTAAAGAGCTCATAGTACCCTATTACCCCTCTAGAACACTACGTTCTCTGAATGCTGGGCTACTTGTGGTTCCTATAGTCTCTAAAAGTAGAACAGGAGCCAGAGCCTTCAGTTACCAAGCTCCTCTCCTGTGGAACCAGCTTCCAGTTGTGGTTCTGGAGGCAGACACCCTCTCCACATTTAAGAGTAGGCTTAAGACATTCCTCTTTGATAAAGCTTATAGTTAGGGCTGGATCAGGTGAGTCCTGAACCATCCCTTAGTTATGCTGCTATAGGCCTAGACTATCGGGGGATTTCCCATGATGCACTGAGCTCCTCTCTTCCTCTCTCTTTCTGCACTCATTCATGTTCCATTAATGCATGTTACTAACTTCACTTCTTCCCTGGAGTTCTTGTGCTTTCTCGTCTCGCAGGTTCTCATCGATCCTGGTGGAGCCTCAAAATTACTGATATTATTATTATTATTATTATAATCATTATTATAGTTACTATTGTTATTGTCCATCGTTGTTGTCGTTGTCATCATCTTCTTCATGTTCATCATCATCAGTCATTTCTAGTCTCTCTCTCTCTCTCTCTCTCTCTCTCTCTCTCTCTCTGTCTGTCTGTCTGTCTGTCTGTCAGCGCGGAAAAAGAAGTTTGTCCTTGCCGCTGTCTCCAAGGTCTTGCTCATGGTGGGAACTGTTGGGTCTCTGTAAATAATGTTATAAGGAGTTCGGTCTAGACCTGCTCTATTTGAAGACTGAACAAAACTATTAGGCCATAAAAAGTTTTTACACAAAACAGGTAAACCTTCGCGGTAGCTACCTTAATAAATCGAACCCAAACACCCCATCATTTAAGTCCAAGGTGAGTTGCTTTAACTTAAGCATTTACTGAGTGTTGGGGTGCTACAAACACATTACATAATAAACATGTTCAAGGAAAGAGACTCAAACTAAATAAACAAAACAATGTTAGGAAGATTACAATTGTATCCATCAACATAATTCAGGTTTAAAATGGTTATCAGTTGAACAGGTTGGTGAATCCTCACCTGAGAGTTTCCAGTTTACAGTGTGGACTGTTCAGTCCAACAGAAAGAAGCTTCAGTCCTGAATCCTGCAGGTTGTTGTTACTCAGGTCCAGCTCTCTCAGACTAGAGGACTGGGAGCTGAGAACTGAGACCAGAGAAGCACAACCTTCCTCTGTGATCAGACAGCCTGACAGCCTGCAAACACACAGAACAACATGTAGTCTGGTGTAAAAGTACAGGGGTTAAAACAAGTTAATTTGTAATACAAATAACTGTTGGTAATTGGCCGTAGGTAAGGGAGTGAACAAAAAAGGGGCGGGAGAATCGAGCCAAGAGGACGCCATTGCTGAACGGGAAGGACTGTTTCACGCTTCCTGAGGAGGACTTTACTTCTGCTGCTGTTGGCTTTCATCTCCATCTCTTCATTAACTGTTTCTCCAGGAGTTATTCCAGACCATGAGTTGGATTTTCTTTGTGACTGTTAATTCTCACTGAGGATAAGGATTTCCCTGCCGCACCGCACCGAGC